ATACACAGTTGCTATGAGTCAGAACCAATTCTGTGGCACTAAACAACAATAAGAAAAATTACTCTAAATATAAAGGAGCTCTGGTAGCGTAGTGGTTTCAAATTGGGCTGCAGTTTGAAACTACCAACTGTTCCGCAGGAGAAAGATGAGACTTTCTGCTCCTGTAAAGATTTACAGCCTCGGAAACCCTGTACAGGGTCGCTATGGGTCAGAACCGACTCCACGACACACAGCAACAACAACAGCTCTGCGAGGTAGGAGCTCCCCTCAGAAGCATAAAGATTTCCCCAGGACTTCAAGGTATCTAAAAGTGGCATCTGTGTCACTTTTGCTCCATGTCCCTAAGCCCAGAAAAGCAGAAACCAAACATCCATTTCAGTCTGTTCCCAGTGCTCATAAACTAAGAACCACTTGTTCCTTAGAATAATGATGGGGAAAGACGCGCCCATGAGAAGTTCTCTTTTCCACATTGGGTAAGTAAGAAGAGTTTCTTCTTAGATGAAATATAGTTGGTCAGTGCTGGAAGAGGAATTCTAGTCACCTTACTCTCTGAAGGCAAGATTACAGAAATGCTAACTCCAGTGGATTCCACAACTACTCCCATTAGCACCTCCTGGAGTGCCGGTTACAACACCACACTTCTGCCTCCCAGCCCCCTAGCTCAACCCTCAGAGGGTGGGGTCCAGGAATGTGAGTTTTTAAACCAGACGCTTTTTTTAAACCAGACGCACGGGGGCTCTGTTAGCGTAGTGGTTACGAATCGAATCAGGCTGCGAGCCTCAAGTTCAGCAGTTCAAAACTACCAGCTGTTCCACGGGAGAAAGATGAGGCTTTCCGCTCCTGTAAAGATTTACAGCCTCGGAAACCCTGTACAGGGTCGCTATGAGTCAGAAAGGATGAAACCGACTCCACGGCACATAACAACAACAATACATTATCAAATACCTCTAATTAGTTTAATACTGGCCTACTGATGCTGTACAATAAGCACTGGACTGCTAACCACAAGGTTGGTGGTTCAACCCCACCAGTCACTCCTTAGAAACCCTCCTATATAATAGGGTCTATACGAATTGGAATCGACTCCAAGGCACTTACCAAGAACAAAGGTTTCCAATGGGAACACTGGTGGTTGGGTGGTAGAATTCTTGCCTTCCACGCAGAAAATAGAGTCCTGGTGTGATGCTATAGGATAAGCACTGGACTTGTAACTGTAACCACTAGGCTGGCACTTCAAACAAACCAGATGCTTCTGGGTTGCTACGAATCAGAACGGACTTAATGGTGCTTACCAACAACAATACAGAAAACATTACTTCCAAAAATTAGCCTGTGAATACCCTAGGAATGCCAATGATCTAATGTGCAACTGAGGGCTGGTCAGTGGTGACTTCTGTTGAGAGGGGAAGGGGCAAACACAAAGGTAGCTAAGGACAACAACAAAGCTTTCCCAAACCCAGACCAATGCTGGGCTGACTCCAACACATTCATGCATTCCTCTCTTTTACTTGGGAGAAAGCCTGGGAAACTATTTTCACAGGTCCCCCTTCCCTGACCTCTGGGTGATTTGGATGATCGGTTGGGTTTGAGAACCCTTACATCACATGATAACAAACAAAAACAAATAAACCCAATGCCATCAAATCAAGTTAAGACTTGTGGTACTGTGGGATAATGCACTGGACTGCAAGGTCAGTTTGAACCACAGAGTCGGAGGTTCGAACCCACCAGCTGCTCGTTGGAAACCCCATACAGGGTTGCTGTGAGGCAGAACCAACTTGATGACACTTAACAACAACATCAGATGATAACAAACCAAACCAAACCCACTGCCATCAAAGTGATATAGACACATCACTGTCAATCCTATATGTGGTTCATGAAGCTGCAAATTGTTACGGGAGCAGAAAACCTCATTGTTCTCCCTCAGAATGGCTGGTGGGTTTGAACTGCTGACCTTGTGGTTACCATCAGATGGTAACTAGCCAGCATTCATTTCACGCTCAAATAGCTGGATAGCAGGACAACATAGGAAATGACCCTGGAAAAATAACTGAGCAAAGGGTGCTGACGATACAGATGAAAGGTCAAGGCCATTTCAATCCTGGAGGAATTTGAGTAGAAAAAAATATGCATTGACCAAGAGTTACAGACAATGCCAACCCTGGGAAAAAATGAGAAGTGAATACAAACTGTTCTTGAATCTCTTCCAACTTCTCTTCCCTCTGACCCTTTGAAGACCACCCCACCCCACCCCCCACCCACAGTTGGCCAAGCAGAATTGTGTTAGGTTAGAATCTCTGACAGAATAATTTATGTGAAAGTATAACAACTTGAATCCACATATACTTTTAAATTTCCATGTTATTACTAAGGCTCACCACTGAGGCCTTAATTTAAAAGAAATCATCTCTCAGTGAAATTTCAGACACAGAAGAAAATCAGTGGGTGAATTCGGGAGTAGGACATGGGGAAGGAGTAACAGGAAGTTTTCTTGTATCCAAAACATACTAGTAGAAAGTGCTTCTTCTGTGTACACAAAGGCCTCCTACAGAATTTTCTGACCTTCTGTGATGCCCACATCTCCATATAGGGCACCCTAGTACTGCTGGCCATGTGGACAGGTCCAGAGAACCAAGAAAATAAGGTTCCTATGCGCTAGGGAGAAGTTCTGGTGTGGCGCTGTGGATTAATCCTAATACATGCTATGTTACAAGCATAAAGCTTTTGGTTGTTTTCAATAGTTCCTTAGATTTTTGTAAATTAATCATGAGGTATTCCAATTGTCATTCAGTGTATTTAAAAATAAATCACTGTCACTTTTCTAAAAGCAACAACATGATCTTATACAATTAAAACTCCGTGGGTGGTGTCCAGAGACAAAGTACCAGATTCTCCCCAGCAGTTAACTGTGAAATGTTGTTTGGTTTGGTTTTTAACTGCCCATGTACAGTCTGGAAGTGTCTCCATTTTGAAGCTGCTAAGCTTCTGGCAAACCAAAGGGATTCAGCCTCACAGGGTTTCTGAAAATCAGGCCCAGAAAGCACTTGGTGCTTATAGGCACAGCAAAGGGAGGAAGTCAGTACCTGAGTACCAGAACCCAGAAGAAAACACTTCATCTTTGGCCTACATACCTTGGCAAGAATCCTGCCTCCTCTCTCAGGTTTTTAGAAAAAGCAAAGATGCTGTAGAGGTTATCAAGCAATCTAATTAGCAGGATGGGATCTAGATGAGACTATCGTATTACATCTTATAAAATCAAGCCTGACTTTAAAAAAAGTGATTCCATGTAAGCGAACTCAAAGCTGGACAGCAGGAGAAAACAACACCCAACCCGAGAAACATAAGAAAGTGGGAAACCAGAGGTGCTGAGACGGATTGTGGAATGGTACCCTTCTATCACCAAGACGTTGAGACAGTGGTAGGATGTGAAACTCAAAATATATCTACTTACTTCCCTCCTATGGAACTTTAGCAAACATCTCTCAAGGTAGTTAGGCTTTCTATATCAACCAATATTTATTTACACACATATATGTAACTGATATGCATTTATAATCTCATAATATAGCATAATATGCATTTGAATTCTGATATTGGAGAAGAATATTAAAAGTACCATGGACTACCAGAAGAACAAACAAATCTGTGTTGGAAGAAGTACAATCAGAATGCTCCTTAGAAGGACATCATGCTTGGTAAAGTAGAGGGTCAACAAAAAAGAAGAAGGAAGACCCCCAAGGAGATGGACTGTCATCAGCAATGGGCTCAAGTGTAACAGTGATTGTGGGGATGGTGTAGAACAGGACAGTGCTTCATTGTGTTGTGCAGAGGGGTCGCTGTGAGTCGGAACTCAACACCCAACAGCATCTAACAACAACAAATATGGTGGTGGGAGTGGTGTGCCACCGAGTCGGGATTCCGAGCTGTAAATCTTTAGGGGAACAGAAAATCTCATCTTTCTCCCAAAGAAAGACTGATGGGCTCCAACTGCCAACTTTGTGGTTAGCAGTCCAATACTTATCCTTACATAAAGATGCACATCCATATTTCCTGAAGAGCTAGAAAGACTTCCACAGAAAGACTCCAGAAGTAAAGTAAGCAACGTGAGTTAGTGTAGAAAAAGCTTGCTAGATGTCTTATATGTATTACTTGCATATATGTGTATTTGTATGTGTATATGTGTATATATACATACACACACGATTTACATTTAGTAGCCAACATTCTATTATTTTCGATGTCTATAGTATAGTACTACTAGAACATATTTTTAAAGGGATAATGAAAATTAAAACCATGAACTATATATAAATATCTATTTAACAATACTATGCCTGTTGGTCTTAAGTAAAACATTACCCTCCTTCATTCCAAATTCAAATGGTGTTAGCTGTCCTAATCAACAGTTATCATCATAGGACCAAATGAATCATTATTCTCATAGCCAGACCTTTGAGGTCAGAAGATAAAAATGGCAAAGGCATGCAAGAAAAGTTTACTTTGCTGTGTCTTAAAAATGTGGAGGCAGGAGAAGATGAGGATAAGTTTAGCTGTTTATCACATGCTTGCATTCTGCTCAAGAAATTTCACACCCATTTCCTATTTGTTGTAAAATGTATACCGTGTGCACTCCATGAAAACTGACACCAATGTTGGCAAAATACAACCAAGCTTCCTTTCTGACATGCCAAATAGGTTTAATATATATATATGTATATATGTATATATTATAGATATATCTTAGCTCCAAGAACATGATCTGAGGGCATTCTGCTTCCCCAAGCCTTCAGCTTGTTTCAGTATCTCTCCCGCAGCCGCTAAAAGGCTCCTTTCAACATGTAAAGATTTCTGGGCCCATCAGTCAGCACGTCTTGAGGTCGGTACAGCTCCAGATTATAGGAGACAATGCATCTAACAGAAGAGCAGCTGGAGAGGGTGAAGGATACCTTCACGAGAAAAAGCATGCAAGTCTTATTTTAATCGCAAGAATCACTTACTCTGTTACAGCAGCGCTGCCGAAGGAATTATCCTGAAGGCTGAAACAGAAACAAGAAAACATCAGCCAAGTGTGACCGGGGAGCCGTCTCCCTGGTCGCTCTCCGGGAGTTAGAACACATACACAAACATGGCATTGCAAGCCTAGTCTCAGGACTCGCCCGGCACGCTCGCTCTACCTTGGGCTGCTGTCTGCACATGCTCGTAACGACACCCCCAGCAGGGGCCCAGCCGCACGGGCGAACCACAAAGCCCGGCAGCCCGCGAGGCTGCGGGGACTGAGCCGGGCGGGGCGGGGCGCAGCGGCGGCGGTGGTGGAGGGGCGGGACCGGGGACCCAGAGAACCCCGCAAGGAGCACAGGAGAGTTGCCTCGCGAGTCGAGCCTTACCAGCCCGGCGCGGTGTTTATTCCAGGCCTTTCGTTCCCCCGCCCCAGGGGATTGGAAATAGGAATTCCCAACTCTTTTTGCCCAGGTGCTGAGCTCCCCAGGAGATTTGCTTTTTTGTAACGAATTTGACTATGCCCCTCCGCCCCCACCCCTAGAAGGATTGAGGCTCCAAGAGATTTCTGCTTTCAGAAGAAGCGGGCAGGGGAAGGAAAGAGGGAGGGAGACATTAGCACTGTGTTTTGTGTGTGTGTGTGTGTGTGTGTGTGTGTGTGTGTGTGTGTGTGTGTGTGTGTGTGTGTGTGTGTTTAGTGCCCAGGGAAAAGGATTCTGCATCGACACGATCTGGTCTTCGCTGTTATTTTCAGTGCCTAACAGGAAGCGCCCAGTCGCGGGCCGCGGAGCTGTGAATGAGCCCACGCAGGGCGAGTGGAGACTTTATTCTAGGCATTAACTGATGACTAGGGACCATGCAATGGGTGGGGTTTGCGGTGGAAGTGGAGATCAAATCCAGAGAATTTTCCCTTGGAATAAAGGAAACCCTTTGAGGGAGGGGGAAATTATCTACCCTCTCCTCCTTCATTCCCCTGGAGATACCTTCCCTCTTTCCATTGTTCATTTTCTCTGCCATGTTGACCTTGATATGGAATGAACAGTCATTTGTGACAGATGCTTACTTTAAATTCGGAATGAAGAAAAACCCGGTTCCCCCCACCTTTTTTTCCCCTAATCTTTCCACTCCCAGAAACAACTGAGATAGGCATTTTAGTCCAAACTAAATTAAACTAATTTAGTGAGCTACAGTAAAAAAAAAAAAAAAATTATAACTAGGTTTTAATTTGAGAACAATTAGCATAATGACCAAAAACTTGGAACTTAATTAAAGGATCTTTACCTCTCCATGTCACTCTAAGACATTAGTGAACAAGTTAACACAAGGATCTAGGATGAAGATACTTGCCTGTATTTTTCCTATTAAGTTACATGTTGACTTTCAAATTTTGTCTGATCTGCCCAGAAGAGATAGTCTCAAAGTTTATGGTTTTATGGCACGGTAGGACATTAAGCAATTTCATATCTAACAGGAGCTCTGGTGGTCAGGTGATTAAGCTCTTAGCTGTGAACAGAGAGGTCAGTAACTGGAACCCACCAGCTGTCCTGTGGCCTTTAGCATCCATAAAGATTACAGTTTTGGAAACCTTTAGGGGCAGTTCTCCTCTGTCCTGTCGAATCTCTTATGAGTTAAAACTGACTTGGGAACAATGGGTTTAGGTTTTTAGTAACCAATCTAGCACTAACATGCTTCCAAAATGCTTTTAAATACTCAGATTCGCAGCCCTGCCATCATATAGTTTCCTCATTAATAAAGTCGATTGATCTTTGACATGTGGCTTATCTTTGTATGATTGTCATGTTTTAAACTTAACTTTGACAAAATCTGGTTTTCAAAGAAAAACAGACTTTATTAAGGCTCTTTGCAATTTTAATCTTCTCTCTACTAAATATATCTTATAATCAGCTGAGTCTGGTGTGGTGCTGCAGGTTAATGCACTGGACTGCAAGGTTGGTTTGAACTGCAAGGTTGCCAGTTCAAACTCACCAGCTGCTCGTAGGAAACCCTATACAAGGTCACTATTGTTGTTGTTATGTGGCATCGAGTCAGTTCTGACCCACAGTGATCCTGTATAGGGTTTCCAAGGAGAAGCTGGTCAGCTTGAACTGCCGACCTTGCATTTCAAATGGCTTTGCTGTCTGGCACATTAACCCACAGCGCCACACCAGGACTCCAAGATCGCTATGTTGTTGTTGTTGTTGTTAAGTGTCATTGAGTCAGTTCCGATCCATAGTGACCCTTTAGAGGGTTCCAAGGAGTGACTGATGAGCTTGAACCACCAACCTTACAGTTCAAACCAACTATGCAGTCTAACTCTTTAACCCACAGCGCCACACACTGTAGTCAACAACAAATGGTCTTCGACCTGATCTCTATGGACTAAAATACATTTTAAGATATGCATTCTTTGAATGCTTACCTTGTGTTTTACTGACTACATAAAGGCATTCCACTGTATGGATCATAACAAACTATAAATAACATTTCAAAGAGTGGGAATTGAAGAACACTTCATTGTGTTCATGCAGAACCTGTCCACAGATCAAGATGCAGTCATTTGAACGGAACAAGGAAATGCAGCATGGTTTAATATCAGAAACAGTGAGCGTCAGAATTGTAACATCTCACCATACTTACTCAATCTGTATGATGAGCAAATGATCCAAGAAACTGAACTATATGAAGAAAGTGATATCGGAATTGAAGACTCATTAATGACCGGCAAATATGCAGAAGACACAACCTTGCTGCTGAAAGTAAAAAGAACTTGAAGAATTTACTGATGAAGATCAAAGGATGCCGTCTTCAGTGTGGATTACAACTCAATGTAAAGAAAAAATCCTCACAACTGACCCAGTAAAACAACATCATGATAAATAGAGACAAGATTGAAGCTGTCAAGGCTCTCATTTTGCTTGGATGAACATTAATGGCCATGGAAGCAGCAGTTAAGAAATTAAACAACATATTGCATTGGGCAAATCTGTTGGAAAAGACCTCTTTAAAATATGAAAAAACAGATGTCACTTTTAGTACTAAGAAATCCATGTTTCAAGCCAAGGTCTTTTCAATCACCTCAATATGCATATGAAATCTTGTTGTTCCGTGCCTTCTAGTCAGTTCTGACTCACAGTATAGTGTTTCCAAGTAGCGGCTAGCGGGTTTGAACCACCAGCCTTTCAGTTAGCAGTCCAGTGCTTATCCTAAAAGCTAAACAATGCAAAAAAAAAATGAGAGTAAGTCAGAAAGTATTGCTGCAAAATCATGGAAAACTCTATTAAACAAAAACATCAAAAAGTGAAGCTATTGTTTATTGACAACTCTTCCATCGAGGTCTAATATGCTTCTTAAGTGGTGTTGCTATCTCTCTGAATAATTCTGTGTTTTCCAATTTATACCACTTCAAAACAGTTCTTGTGGCATCCTCAAGGGACTCAAATCGTATTCCTTACAGCTGCTCTTTGAGATTTGGGAACAAAGAGAAATCTGAAAGGGCAAGATCAGAATTATATGGTAGATGCGGTAAAGTTTCCTAATGAAATTATACATAATACAAAAAATAAATAATTCTCATAGTCCAGCCCCTGTTGCCCTTAAAGAATGAGCAGGTGCATTGTAGTGATGAATAATAAAAATGTCTCAGCAAAACTTTCCTAGCCTTCTTCTTACCATTGCAGTTTTCCATTTTCTTAAAGCATCTTCCTAATAATCCCCTATGATAGTCCTGTGCCCTTTGAGACAATCCATTACCCTTTTGGAATCCTAAAACTACAGTCACCATAACTTTTTGAACTGACCTGTCTACCTTGAATTTAACTGGCGTAGCATACCCCCTCAAAAGCCACTGCTTTGACTGGATCTGTGTTGAAGGCACCCAAATGACACTAATATATGTTATTGTGAGAACTTACCTACAGCCATCCACTGATTGCAATCACATTTTAAAACACGTTATGTTTGTAACAGATCCATGCAAGTATGAACTAGAACCCTAGTAACAATACTTCTTTGCTTATTCTGGTACAAAAGAAGAACTAATGCATTTGAATTCCTATGTTGGCTATGAGTATTGAATCTACTGTGAACTGGCAGAAGAACAAATCTGTCTTGGAGGAAGTACAGCCAGAATGTTCCTCAGAATCAAGGATGATGAGACTTCAACTCCTGTACTTTGGGCATGTTGTCAGGAGGGACCAGTCCTGAAGCTTGGTGAAGTAGTTATTGTTGTTATTAAGTGCCATTGAGTTGATTCTGACTTATACTGACCCTGTACAGGGTTTCCCAGGAGCAGCTAGTGGGCTTGAATTGCCAACCTCTTGGTTCCCAGTCCAGTGCTAA